GAGGGGGCGGGGACCAATAGTGGGCCCTTAAACTGTCTATAGGCTATATAGCATATGCTGTAGCCTATATAGTAATATAGTATATCATTTATGGTATAATATCGGCTGTATGGAGATACAAAACGGGGCGGGACGAAGAGAAAAGCCGCTGCAGATTACAAAGGGTGTTATTACAGTGACAGGGATTTATCAGTGAGTGACCTGCTGATGTTTAAGCAGAACAAGTGCTGATATGTCTGTGTGAATATTCCACCGATTAAACAAGTAAAGCAGACTTCATTAGCCGGACGGGAAACCAAAGATATAAGGCCACTACAGTTTGACATTCAGTGAAGTTGGACGCTCATCCAGCCACACAGACAATACAATAAAACCACACATTATCAACCCACGCACGACAACAAACTTTGAAACGGTGTGACAGCAATGGCCTGCCGTTCATACAGTATGATAACCAAACAGACACGGCGGTCTACAACACATGCAACCACAAACAAAAGACCAGCATCTAAACGTAATCACAAATCATGATGAAACAACTTACCAATTAAGTTTTCATCAGCACTGTTGCTTTCCTGCAGCTAGCTGGGTGCTCCTCCTAACATGTTTATTTGCTTGGCTAGTTTCGTTTACGTTAGTGGAGCTAGCAACAGGAGGAGACTCGCCAGGTTGAGTTGTGAATGAGAAAACATTTTTTACACTTTTAATGTAACGAAAAACTGCGAGGTAAACATAAATAAAGCAGACAGGCGACTAGGTTTTTAAAACTCCAGACAGCAGCGGGGGCCCAGCAAAGGGGGTGCTAAGAGGTGGAATCAATGACATTACAAACAGGCCACAGCACCCTGCTGGTGCTGTTTGCTGCCGAAGTTGAGAACCCCCTTGGCAGTGGAGGGGGGCCCCTCTCTCCTCTACAAAATACATTGTGTGTCTTGATTGCGGCAAAAGAAAAGAGAGACTCAGACCTAGTCAAACTAATTTTATTAGAAAATTCAACTAAATAACAAAATGCATGTTAAATTTGGCTCAAAGTGGGTCCCTTAAGACAACAGTGGGCCCGGGGCGGCCGCACCTTCTGCCCCCACACTCACTCCGCTATTGCCATCCTGGCAAAATCAGTCATCTCATGACAACACCAATTTAACACATGATGAAAATAGAGACTAATGATTCAAATCTAGAATGAAGGCTCGTTTTATTCAATCGTTAAAACCTCCAGAAGCATCAGAAAACATGAACTATTGGAACTGAGATTCAGTGTTTGATGGCATAACTCATCTTTGATTATCCTTGGATAGAAATTTGTACCTTCAAAGACGGGATACTAATGAAGTTGTGCTGTTCTACAGAACTATGAAGGCTGGTTATCTGAGCCATTATTTCCATTTAAATTCTTCCAGCGTTCAGAAACGTTTTCTCAAATGTCTTCTATGGTTAATTAAGGTCTCCTGACATCTAGATCTAGAGCTAGAGACCCTCAAGCAGGCATACTGTTCCTCCTCCTCTTTCAGTTATGATTATCGCGCAAACGATTTAAGAACATTTCAAAATCAAAACGTTCAGACATGGTTTGTATAGTTTTAATAAGCAGGGAGGGTGACGTGCAGATGCACAGACAGAGGACCAATCAGCGCACATTGAGCAGTTTGGACGCCATCAGTCTGTTTACAGAGACTGCAGTCAACCATTAAGTTCACATGCTTGACTGGTAAACATGTAAACTGTAGAGCAGATTATCAATTTAACTTTTTGTTTCTTGTCCGTCCACTTACATGCGCAATGGCACATTCCTGACTGTCGCTCGCCCGTATAGCGCCCTCTCTTTCTCTCTGCCTCTCAAGTGTGACATATTGAGGAGGAGAACCTCTTGAAAAAAGGCCTGATCTAATGTTTAGACTTATAAGTAAACTTTAAGTGCAGTTTTTTAAGACAACAGGTGAGCTGCGGAGCTGCGCAGCGTCTTGAGGCGAAATGGATTGGTTCCGCTCTTCCATTTGTTTTGCAGGTTCAAAAAGAAATATACAGCTAGAATTTCGATATCTAGGTTTACAAATAAAAAATTTCGAAACCTGCGCAGCGATTAAAAAGCTCCGAGCGGCTGTGAGTTGTAACACTCTGCAGGAGGTAAACAAGGTTTTAGGGAACAGACATAAAAACAATCACACATTCCGGTGTAGGCTGCTGCAGCCACACATCACATTTAACGTGGTAAACTGTACTTTAAATGTACTACAATTTTTTTATTTTTATTATTATAGTTGATAATAATTCCCTGACGCAAGCATGGCAGATTAGACTATGGCGGGCCGCCACAGTCTAGTTAATTAATGGGACACACTGAATTCTAAGTTGAGGCATTAAAAGGAAAAATAAAATGAAAGAAGTCTGTTCAACATAGAGATGACCAGGAAGTTGAGCTTAGAGGGCAATAACCTCTCGGACAGAGTGTGTTAATGTCAACACACTTTCCTCTCCAAAGTCATCATGAATACAAAAAACTAGCTCTTTAAAGGGCTCTGACATTTTGAATGAACAGTGTGGTTACCGTGGGATGTTGTTCAACGGGCAAACTTAACATAACTAGAGCAAAAGTGGTGAAGAGTCAGTAATGTTTGTTTGTATTAGACAAGCTAAGGCTACAGAGGCAAAACTCCTGAGTGTTGGACTGAGCCAGCAGTTTGTATGACTTAAAGCTACTATGAGGACTTTTGATTGGATATGAAACAGAACAATTTCACATAAAAAAATATGGAATATGATTGTTTTTATGTTAAACCTCTCTGGGAGCTTTAGGAGAAAACCAATCCTTTAAAAAAAAAAGAAAAAGATTTATTTGTTAATTAAATGAAAGCCTAATTTACCCTAAAGAAGAGTAGCTAGCATAACAATGTTGTTGTGAAATCACACAGTTAACCTTTCACTAGCCCACAAACACTCAAACTTACCGTGAGTTTTATAAATGGGAACAGGGTTTGTGTATTTTACTTGACTTTCTGAAAACTTTCTCTGAAATGTCCACCATGATTAAAATCTCTTTCAAATCAAACGACACTCATTTTCTTGATGTCCAATAAGTCCTTTAAACAGTTTTGAAAAATGCTTCTTACAGTTTATTCCAATTATCCACCTGGCTAGCTGACAAGCTAGTATTACACCCCATAGAGATTTTAGCCTGTGAAACCTTTTAAAATGTGAAACCTTCAAAATTTCAGCTTAATATTAAACATACTTAGACATGTAGTAAATTCACACCCATTCATACTTCTATGTTTTGAAGGTACTGCCACTCTAGCTTTATCACTCTGCTCTATTTAGCTTCTTGAAACTGACTTTCCACATTGTCATAGTCATTGTAGTGCCATGTTTGGCCTTGAAGATTTCTTCTGTAATGCAATAAATCACTGTGTACTTTCTACATTTTAACATTAAATCAAGTGACTTTCACAATGCATGTGTAGGGGGTAGAGCCATTGTTATAAGGTGTTAGTCCTTGGAAGCTCTAACTAAAGCTTCTGCTCCCTTAAATCCTATTAATCCCTTCAAATCATATGACAAGGACCGAGAGAAATAAGCCGTTTCCACAGTCTGAACATTGTTTTATTTTTTTAATCATTGGTTAATGCAGCTTCAAGTTTATTAGCTTTAGTTGCCTGGCTGACAAGAAAGGCAGCATTAAAATCTAGTCTGGGGGAATTTTTAGCGTCTACACCAGTGGTTCTCAATCTTTTTAGACTATAAAAGACTAGACAATTCATGCAAGAGGCAAATTAATTCATAAAAAGAATATTATTTCTTATTGACTGCTGGCAGCCACACTGTAGGCCTACTAAGGGCTATAAAAATGAAAATAAAAATGACAACTTTATACCAACAACCTGTCAACAAGTCTCCAGTGTTTCCCACACAAACACAATACATGGGTCCAAGTATATTTCAGACCTGTTCTCATTTAATTTTTCATTTATTCATAAAATTGCTGCGTGCCTGAGAGAGAGCGAGAGCGTGAGAGTGCAGGTGCGCGCTCTGCATGCTTCGTGCAAACAGCGCCGCTTGTTGTTTAAATTGAGCAGATTAAAGTTTTTTGTTGCAAAAACTAGATTAATTTAGAGGGGAAAACACATTTGATATAAATACAACCCAAGACAGATAAGAGTACGACAAAAAAAAAATGTAGTTTTATGCTGAACGGGTTTGTTTTTTATATTGTGGAGATTTCTTTGCATACCACCACAGGGAGCCCACGTACCACTGGTGGTACACGTACCATAGTTTGAGAACCACTGGTCTACAACATGAAATCAACTGGACCATCCTTTAGTGTCATACGCCTAACACAGGCCTTAGTTATTCTGTAGAAAAATTAGACTACAATCATTTTAAACATTTCAAAAGTGCGACAAAATGCTCATGTAAAGCTACCTTCAGCGTGAACACCTCAGTCACGTTCAGAAACAGAGCAGGGCCTCCACAAGTGAAATGTTTGCCCGACGAGGTCACTGGCCTTCTCAGCAGCATAAAACCGACAGGACACTTACCCTTAAAACAAAACACTCTGACCCCGAGTTCCAACCACGGCAAATTTCTGATCAATAAGAGCACGTGAATCGCTGCCAAGGTACACAGTGTGTGGTGGTACACCTGAGTGACGAGCTGCAAGAGCTACGACTGCATGTCAAAACGCTGGACTTCATTACAGGAGAGTTGTTGTGTCTGCTGCTTTAATTGAGCTTCCCTCCCTTTGTTAGTACCCATGATTTACTTCAGTCAAGAATAAAAAGATTTCTCCTAAAAAGAAAACGAGTAGGTAAGTCCCTCATTTTTTAAGCATAATGGGCTTTGGTCTGACTTCAGTGACTTCAAAAGGTTTTATAGCTTCTTGAATGTGGATGTCTGCTAAAAATAATAAATGCGCTCTCAAAATTAAAATTTTGACATGACAGTCGTAAACTAATTATTCTGCATTTGGACATCTGAAATGCGCCTCTCCCAGATGAGCCGACATGCCGAGTGGATCAGTGAAGCTGCACAGCATTAAAAAGCTGGGACAGGAAAACCACAGCTATGAGTTTTCAGATGAAGGTAAGGCTCTAAAACTTTTTCAGCTCTATTTACAGATATACTTTGGGAAAAAATTGCTAATACAGAGGTTGTAATGTCACTTCATTTGAATGAAACATTGTGGAGTTTCAGCCACAGTTATGAATCGAGGAAGTTGAATCTCTATTTCATTCTTGTGTTGCAGAACCAGCTGGCTCCTATTTGTGAGTACAGAATCCTTTCTGTTTTTAATGTGTTTATATTATTTTATGAATCAATGACTTTTTAATTAATCACAGTTTCCATTAAAAAAGCCCTGCTATATAAAGGACGTTTTTATCCTGAGGTTAGGTGTAGGCTGATTAAGTCTGTTGGATGTTTTCTCAATATATTATGGTTTTCAATATTTTTCAATTTCGGTTCTTAAAGCAGCAACTATACCAACATTACTTAACCAGCGTTAAAATACGACACAAACGGAAAACAGCTGCTCCCTGATTTTTTAAATGTATTTCTGCCTAAACAGGACGGATTCACCCACAATGTGTCAGCCCTTTTACAAGAACAATAGTAGCCAGAAAGAGAGATCAATGACCTTAGCCATGTGTGTGTATGTATGTAAACAGGCCAATGTACATGTGTCTTCTTACTCCTTCTAGTGTCTTTAAAACACTGACATATCAGAGAGAACACTTTTCAATAAGCCTGTAGATAAATGCATGACTTAGTGCATAAGTCCTGACGTTATAATGTAAATGGACTTTTCTAGTCTTCTGACTGCTCAAAGTGCTTTTACACCGCTTGTCACAGCTACACATTCACACCCATTCACACTGATGGCAGAAGTTGCTATGTAGTGCAGCCGGAGCAATTCTGGGTTAAGTGTCTTGCCCAAAGACACATCTGACATGTCGCTGCAGGAGCTGGAACACTCTACCAACCGAGCCACAGCCACCCCATTATTAATGTATCAGGAATTCACATCAGTCACTAGAAACAAATGATGGAGTCCCTTTGAGTTCATATCAACTTAATAATGTATGGTGGCCCTTAAAGGTCAACACACAGCAACTTGAAAAACATTTAAAATAGTTAAAAACGTGCTCAAAAAACAAACTGTTTTCTGTATCATGTTTTGTGTCTGTATTTGGGTTTCTGTCCTGTATCTGGTTTTATGAACGGATTTTGGTTTGTAACCTACATTTTGATGTGTCTCTGTTGTTGTGTTTGGTTACACGTTTGTTTTTGATCTCTTGTGTATTTAGATGTCTGTATTTGGGTCCGTTTCTGTATATCATCATGTGTTCTGTTTTCTCTCACGCAGGACAATGACAACTTCCAAGGAGGACGAGAAGTAAGTATAAGATCAAAATAGAATTGTGGATATTTTGTAATGATCCCCTAAAACATAGACTGACCTGTCTTTTTTGTAAACAGAGGGAAGGGAAATGCTGAGCAACCAGCAATCAGGGTCGGCTTCTTTCAACTGGTAAAAAACTTTTTTGTTATGTAACAGGTGTTCTTTTTTCTTTGCTTAGCTCCTTTAACAAGTGTGATCTTTGTGTTTTACCTCCGTCCAGTTCCGCTTTGCCACATGCAACGATGTGCTCAAGATGGTGTTCGGCAGTGTGTGTGCGATCCTGCACGGCTCTGCCCAGCCCCTCATGCTGCTGGTGTTCGGCCTGCTCACCGACACCTTCATCGAGTACGACATCGAGCTGAACGAGCTGAAGGACGACAGGAAGGAGTGTGTGAACAACACCATCCAGTGGAAGAGGAACTACACTGAAGCGTTCGGCCAGCCCTCGTCGCAGAACCTGTCGGGCTGGGGCCTCATGAACAATGCAACATGGGAGATGCTTGTACCTCTAACGTCTAGGTCATGTGGGTAAGTGAGCTGTGAGAATACACAAGGTTGGTCCCTGTTTGCAGGGATCTGCATTTGTATTTACTGTGTTTGTGTTTTCTTTCAGGATTCTCGACATTGAATATGAAATGACCCAGTTCGCCTTCTATTATGTGGGAATTGGAGCAGCTGTGTTCGTGCTGGGATACTTCCAGGTTTGTCTTCCTTTCATACAAAGCCATACATCTTAAATCACATTAGTCTGTGTCATCCTTGCATCTACTTACAAGAAATAAGTCAGGTAGCATAAGGCAATTTGATCCTATCAGAAATACTTCTCCTGCGTGGATATTCTGAATTCATGCTTTGTAAAAAAAATAATAATAAAAAAAAACTAGTGCATGGCATCAAGTCTTACACAAATGGTGTCTCTTCTCTCCACTCTATAAAAAGAAAGTGGTTAAAAACATATTTAATACAAGTGTGACATTCACCTTGAAGTATCACGACTTACCTCGACAGACTGTAGAACTAGATAGGACTTTGTGGCATGATCATGTATTGGTTTGAGAATGTATGGCTTATTGCACTGTGATGAAATGCAGAATTCCTGAACTTAAAGACACTTTAGGCTCATATCCTTATTATAGGATACATATTCTTTCCTAATTTAGACCGCCGTGACATCATTATGACATTATTTTGCCACCCTTACTCTAACCCTAACCCTAAACCCTAGGGTGCTACAGGGCAAAGGCTTACATATATTTATAAGAATAAGCTAATTTGAGTTTAACCTCCATTTTACATTTTACATAGATCTCCCTGTGGGTGACATCAGCTGCCAAGCAGATTCAGCTCATCAGGAGGATTTACTTCAGTAAAGTGATGAGGATGGAGATCGGCTGGTTCGACTGCACCTCTGTAGGAGAGCTCAACACTCGCTTGTCAGAGTGAGTGGACAAAGACGACATCATTTCTATCTGTGGGAGTAATTTGGTTCTATAAATACATGGGTGTTAAAAGTGGTCTTATCTGTATTACAGTGATATCAACAAGATCAATGACGCTATTGCGGATCAAGTTGCCATTTTCCTGCAGCGTTTCACCACCTTTGTGTGCGGCTTCTGCATTGGATTTGTGAAAGGATGGAAGCTAACACTCGTCATTGTTGCAGCAAGTCCACTGATCGGTCTTGGAGCCGGTCTCATGGCTGTGGTGAGACTTGAATCGATTCCCCTTGACTTGTTGATTGCTCTTAACTTGACCAAACATGAACTCTGTTGACCTGACGTCTCTCGACTTGGATTAACAGTTACATCTTTTGACCCATCTTGTTGACCTGATGCTTTGACTTTAATTTACATCTTTACCTGTTGGCTTTATATGACTTGACCGCTCTTAACTTGACAAATCAAATCCTACATGTTGACATGACAACTCAACATCTGCTGACTTGACTTCTCATGTTTTAATCATTACCGTGACTCCTCTGTTATGGCCTTCTATTTCTTTGTGCGACTGGCCCAACATCCCTTGACTGCAACAGAGGTCAGTTTAACAAAGCTTGACTGAACAAGACTACAGTAATCTTGGTTTGACACAAAAAGGGGGGAAACCAGTCACTCCATACATAAAGAATTAGAAGGGAAACACTTAAAATACCTTTATAATAACGGCTAAATCATTTAAAGAGCCAACATGTTTCGACCATAAAAGACTTAATCAGGGCACACTTTCTTTAACATTATTTTTAATCTGCTTTGACCACATTGAGCAACCAGCCATCCCCCGTTTTTCTCTTTGACCCGTCCAAACTTGTCAGCCTGACTTGACTTGACCCTACATCGACTCAACATCTAACTTAATCTTACCTGATTTCTCTCCCCCTCTCCATCATCTTTGCTTCCCTCTGTTCTTTTCACAGTTTGTGGCTAAGCTAACAGGGATGGAGCTGCAGGCGTATGCCAAAGCTGGAGCCGTAGCTGACGAGGTGCTCTCCTCCATCAGGACTGTGGCTGCTTTTGGTGGAGAGTTAAAAGAAGTGAAGAGGTAAAATGCCTGCAGATAGCCGAAGATGAACTCTTGTATTACAGCTGTGATGAGTTCTATTACTTTGTGTTGGCAGGTACGACAGGAACTTGATTTCTGCACAGCGCTTGGGCATCAGGAAAGGTTTGTTTATGGGCTTTTTCACTGGATACATGTGGCTGATCATCTTTCTGTGCTATGGTCTGGCCTTCTGGTACGGATCCAGTCTGGTGGTGGACACTGAGGAGTACACACCAGGAACTCTTCTGCAGGTATTACAATTACCATGATGACAAAATATACTGTAATGTGCATTATTGGTTCTTGACAACCAGAATTCACAGATGGACATGGTTTGTGTAACAGTGTGTTCTGCAGCTTTAATAAACTCACCTTTTCACTCCAGGTGTTTTTCGGTGTTCTGATAGCAGCTATGAATTTAGGCCAGGCCTCCCCTTGTCTGGAGGCATTCGCTTCAGGCCGAGGAGCTGCGACCATCATCTTTGAGACTATTGACAGAGTGAGAATGCTTTATGTTGTAATTTTTCAAGATTTTGATCCTTACAAGACGATATATCTTCACAGGAAGCCATTAACTCATATTGACAAGCCTCATTTTTCAAATGCGACACTTTTAGGAGCCGGAGATTGATTGTTTATCTGAGGCGGGATATAAGCTCGACAGGGTCAAAGGAGATATTGAGTTCCACAATGTGAGCTTCTACTACCCCTCCAGACCTGACGTCAAGGTATGAATGAGCTTATCATTTAATAGCAAATCTATCTGAGGTTTAATTTTATTTCTGTTTCTTTAGTTGACCTTTTCCTAAAAAGTCTTGTGACTTCTTCTCAGATCCTGGACCAGCTCAGTGTTGCAGTGAAGTCAGGAGAGACCACAGCCTTTGTGGGGCCAAGTGGAGCTGGAAAGAGTACGGCTATTCAGCTCATCCAACGCTTCTACGACCCTAAGGAGGGAATGGTACATTTGACAGCTCTGACACCAACAGCATTAAACTGAGCCTTACACATTTGATTTGAAAAGGGACTTGCATTCGCATTCAGACACTGCCTTGATAAGTTAAATGTCACTTTCTGTGTCCCCTATGTGGTGCTAGAGAGAACACAGACCAACAAAACACTAACCATTATGTGCAGAAAGCAACCTCAGGTGTTAAAAAATGAAGCCAATCACAAGAGCAAAAAAACTGCAGTTCCTTAAGAGTCCACTTGAGGTGTTGCTCCTGAAGGACAGCATACAGTGTATGACTGTGTGAAATAACCGATTAGTGGCCCTGCATGGCAATATATTAGAGTGTGATTGTGTTGTGAAAGGGTCAATGTGGTTGGTTCATTATAATTTACTTAATCTCAGCAAACTGATAATGATTGATTCCAATAGTAATGTCCTTTCTCTAAACTCTTGAGATCTTTGATTTCCTCTGTATGTGCCACCTCCTTCCCTTTAAAGCATCATTCAAGTCTTTATAAAAATAACCATCCCCTGAGGGTTAGAGAAGCACATGATAATCTTTTTCATTATTCGGGCAATGGGTCCTAACAGCCTCATTTTTCTCTCCTTACTGGAATTACAGCTCTTTACACACCTTAGTTTCTCATTGCTTTCATCTTCAAGAGACGGAAATAGTCTCTTAAGGTTATGCACAAGACTATCCGCCTTACCATTTGAAACTAGCATTGTTGCAGAAAAGAATATAATAGCAGCAGGGTGCTTTAATAGCATCATCCATCAATTCAAGCAAAACCAGCTGCTCTCTGTGCCCTCCATCTCAGGTGACCCTGGACGGCCATGACATCAGAGGGCTGAACATCCAATGGCTGCGCTCGCTGATAGGCATAGTGGAGCAGGAACCGGTGCTGTTTGCCACCACCATCGCTGAGAATATTCGCTACGGGCGACCCGGCGTCTCCATGAAGGACATAATCGCTGCTACGAAGGAGGCCAACGCCTACAACTTCATCATGGACCTGCCACAGGTGGAAACATGGAGGATGTTCAGTTTCAGTAGTGGATACAGATTCAAAGTAATTTTAATAACCAAAAGGCTAAAGAAGTATTCTTGACATTTTTACATCCTGCAGAAATTCGACACCTTGGTGGGGGAGGGTGGAGGTCAGATGAGCGGAGGGCAGAAGCAGCGTATCGCCATCGCGCGGGCTCTGGTCAGGAATCCTCGTATCCTGCTGCTGGACATGGCGACCTCTGCCCTCGACAACGAGAGCGAGGCTGTAGTACAAGAAGCTTTGGATAAAGTGAGTGTGACTGGTCTGTGTGCTGAATCGGCTTCTCTTTTCATCCCAGGATTGGAACATTTATGATTTAAATGTGAAGCCTGGAGGCAAAGCGCTGAAAAGAAAAGATCCCCTGAAGCTCTCTTTAGCACTAGAAGAAAGCGTTTTACAATAATTTCCTTTTTTTCCCCCCCAAGAGAGTATGACCTCAAACTAATCTCAGAGAAAAAAGAAATCCACTTTACAGACAACAAAGACTGCAAAATAAAGACAAATGTGAATTAAATTATATCTACTGTATGAGCCTCACTTGTAGTTCTAGGTCCAAATAAACACTGAATAACCAATAAAAATACAACAGCGTTCATTAGTTGAACCACATACAAGATCTAAGTGACTAGTATAGAACACATGTTGTACAGAATATAACATCCATTTTGATTTTATTTGACATCAAGGATATTTTTGGGTGTGTTTTTTTAAAAGTCAATGAAATCCTATAAATTAGGATCATTAAGATATTACATTTCATCAGTTCCTGTTTGGAAAAGTTGCACACTTCAAGTCTGATTTTGTCGTAGGTACGTCTGGGTCGCACCACCATCTCTATCGCTCACCGGCTGTCCACCATAAAGAACGCTGACGTGATTGTCGGCTTTGAGCACGGCCGAGCTGTAGAGAAGGGCAACCACAACGAGCTGCTGGAGAGGAAGGGGGTCTACTTCACTCTGGTCACCCTGCAGAGCCAAGGAGACAAAGCTCTGAACGACAAGGCTCGACAAAGTAGGTCCAGATGTGTGAGAGAACATCCGCATGATCTACATCCATAAATACACTTTAAGGATCTAAGCCTTTTCTTGGATCTCTTCCATCAGTGGCTAACAAGGAAGAAGAGTCAGAGAAGCTGAGTCTATCCAGAGCAGGCAGCTACCGTGCCAGCTTGAGGTATTACACAAACACACTCTCAATCACCTCCTGCCCTTCCTCACTTTCTCATTTGCTTACTTGTATAATATCCATTTACTTGGTCCTGACTGTGCATTTAAATCGGATTATTACTGTAGTCATTTACAGGCTGAAATTGAGCAGTGTCACAACAGAAACTGGAACCATCATTTATCTAATTACCCTTTTACATTTAAAAGAACGTTTGGAGCATTTAGCTGACACTATCATCCAAAACCACTTACAAATGGGGCCACAGAAGACGTGGCTTGAGGTCCTCTATCTGCACCATAAACAAGTGCCCAGTAATTAGAGTAAGAAGAAGAACAAAAGCAGTGTCAACACAGCCGAGTAGCTGCAATATATTCATGTGCAGGACGAGATAATAGCATTTCTAAAAAACTCAATTCTGACCAGAAAGTTTTTTCTTTACAGAGCTTCAATCCGTCAAAGGTCTCGATCGCAACTCTCAAACCTGATCCCAGAATCCTCTGTTGGCATTGTCGGAGAGCTCGGCCCCCGTGCCTACTCCTTGTCACAGGCAGACAAATCCAAGGTGTGTGTGTGCGGGAGTGTTTGCATCATATTTAATGTGTGGGTGCTTTTTCCTTGCATTGTATATGTTTTGTCTCTCATCAAACTATAGATACTTCACTCTATCTGCATGTTGATGTGTTTTTGTATTTTGGGGTTTTTAAGAATGCTTTCCCAGAGGAGGAGGAGGAACTTATAGAGCCCGCTCCGGTTGCCAGGATCCTGAAGTACAACATACCTGAGTGGCCCTACATGCTCTTTGGGTCCTTTGGGGCGGCCATCAACGGAGGCGTAAACCCCGTCTACTCGCTGCTGTTCAGTCAAATCTTGGCGGTGAGGAAGTTGTAAACAGATTTTCTGAAACACACAACACAAGCTAATTTTACAAATTTAAAGCCAAAAATCAATACATAGAATTCAAACACCAGCATGAAAAGTAAGATGCGTCGTTGTAAAATAAGTGATAGCTAACAGTGCTATCTACATTATACCGCTACAACCTCCAACACTCTGTAAAATAGCATGCTCTCTAACCTTGAACAAGTTAGACCTTAAGTTACAACACCCCTGCAAGCTAACTGCTAACCTCCAGCTACTAAGCATGTTAGCTTCGTTTTAAAACTGACTTTAAGTTCACAGAATTTATGCCAAAATATGAATCGTTTTCCTGACATAATGCTACATAGCATGATAGCGAACAGGGAACAGGCTAGCTCTTGTTAATCACAACACTTCCTTGAACTAGTGAATGGCTAGCTTAGACCAGCAGCTATCATGTTTATAAGCTAGGTTGAAAATAGACATTAAGTTCCCACAGTTTATGCAAGACACAGAGTTTTCCATTTTCTCATTACATGGCTACCCCAGGCAGTTGATGCTATGCTAGGTAGCGTTCAATGGAACAGCTTGTTGCACACAGCTAAAAGCTTTGATAGCTTCTCATTTTTGGATTCTCTTGTTTTGGCTTTCTTAAAAGGTCACCACTCTTTTAGACATAACTAGTGACTTCGACCTGCAGCCTTAGTGATGTGCTCAATTGACTTGAAGTTATTTGTGAACTATTCCTTTAAACACTAGTGTGCCCAGGCCTTCACGATGAAGACTTATCTGCCAGTATAGATTATTAGCCTTACTTCTAGTAACACAATCTGGCCTTTTTATAATATAGTATATTTATATGTTTAAATGTTTTCGATATTGGGGCTTTAAACATAAGAGCTTTACATTTTTTTTATGAATAATCGATCTTACTCTTACGATGTACTGTGTCTTCTGTACTGTCCCAAAAAACGCGGAGAATTGTGTTCCTATCTGAAAGAGTACAATGTGACATGACGCACAGTATTGTTTCACCCTGTTGTGTTTTAGTGTATTCACATTATACATTAATGTGCATGAAATAAGCATGTTTTTCTATGTGGTGTTTGTGTGCCTGCAGACATTCTCAGTAACAGATCCTGTGGTTCAGAGGAGGGAGATTGATGGTATCTGCCTGTTCTTTGTCATGGTTGGCGTGGTCTCTTTCTTCACTCAGATGCTGCAGGTAGAGTATCAGTCTGCTTTAAAAAGACTGATTGCTTTAGTGCTTCAGTCTTCACCCCCTGATTGTGTTCAAGGTGAGGGGAAAGTCACAATAGAACCGCCTTTATTTCGGAAACTTTCCCTTTTCCTCTGCGTCCTATATCCTGCAGAGCTGCTGTAATATAATATATGGGCTCTGCCCCCCCTGATGATGGATCCATTACTAATATATTACATTATGTTTAAGATCACTGTTGTGGTGTTTTAGATTAAATTAAGATACTTCCTGTGTGTCTCCAGGGTTATGCTTTCTCCAAGTCTGGAGAGCTTCTTACCCGCAGGTTACGGCGGCTCGGCTTCCACGCCATGCTGGGCCAAGAGATCGGCTGGTTTGACGATCACAAGAACAGCCCGGGAGCTCTGACCACACGCCTGGCGACCGACGCCTCCCAAGTCCAAGGAGTAAGTTAGCAGCTTCAGTGTAAAGACTTTTAATTATTGTTTTAAAGCTACAGAGAACACAGCACACTGTACAGCATCAAAATCCTTGTTATCCCTACTTTTCTTCCCATAAGGCAACAGGCTCGCAGATTGGCATGATCGTCAACTCTCTGACCAACATCGGCGTGGCCGTCATCATGTCCTTCTACTTCAGCTGGAAGCTAACGATGCTTATCCTGTGCTTCCTGCCGTTCATCGCTCTGTCAGGTGGCTTTCAGGCTAAGATGCTAACAGGGTTCGCTAAGGAGGATAAGATAGCCATGGAGGCTGCAGGACAGGTCAGATATTGTTTATACTCTATAACCTTACCATAAAGTCTTTTCTGGTTACTTTTTAGGAGCCTCCTCAACTGCAACACACTGACAAGTTTTACAGGTGGAGGATGACATCAGCTGATTTTTCTTTTGAGGGACAGCCTTAAAACAGTGTCTATTTTAGGCTTCTCATCAGTGAAGAAAAGCTTCACAGCCCTGCAGCTGTACTCAGCTCTCGCTACAGTAGCATTTTATTAGCTCCTCCTATACTTTGGCAAGACAGGAATGGAGCTAACAAGGTCAGACTCGATTCTTGCTGGGGCCTCCCATGCTTCAAATGCAGTTATAGCACTGAAGCACACTGAGGAGAAAAACCTCCAGCCATGGCAGGAAAGTTTAAAATCAAAGAAAAAGTATTTAAAAGTCAATTTACTGTGAACTTCCTTTACGCTATCTTAATTATCCCTATGCAGTAAACCCCACCCATCCAAATAAAGTGGATTAGATGAAAGTTTAATGATCCCTATGGGGGGGAATTGGCTTACTGCGGCAGCATAAAATGGGATATAGATAAGAACAGAGCAAATGCTTTATCTTTATCTAACTCTCCTCCACACTTAAGAAAAACAGTAAGATTAGGAGCAGCTTCTGCTTGATTTGTTTTTTTACTGTTTTATTTCAATTTCATCTGCAGATTTCTGGTGAGGCGTTGAACAACATCCGCACCATCGCAGGCCTGGGGAAAGAGAGGAATTTTGTTGAGTTGTACGAGGCCCAGCTCGAGTCTCCGTACAGAGCGGCCCTGAAGAAGGCAAATGTGTACGGAGGGTGCTACGGTTTTTCCCAGTGTGTCGTCTTCCTCACAAACTCTGCCTCCTACAGGTTTGGAGGTTACCTGGTGCGGCAGGAGGGGCTTCATTTCAGCTTGGTTTTCAGGTGAGAGAAGGAGGACAATGTTAATGTTAGAATGGATGATCTCTATCCATTATCTTTTCATCTCCTGATCAATGCGTAACTGTTGAAATGATTCCTTTTCGTTCCCTCTGTTAGCAATTCAAAACCCCTCTGATCATAGCATGTGTTTCAAGTTATTCAAATCTAATTCGATTTGCAAACCTTTTATCATCTCTAATGGATCTCTCAATCTTGTTTTGAGCCACCCAAAGTTTCACAAGGTGGATTTAAAGATAAACAGCAGGGAATTCTAGGTTAGCGTTAGCATTAATTCAGAAAGGACTGATACAAGTCAAGGACGGTGAAACGTAAACGTTGCTATGATTTCTACGCTTTTCTTGTTAATATCTTGCTTGTGTGAACCATGTGACTAACAATGAAAATGACTCTACAGAGAGGTAATAAGTTAACATATATCTAAAAGGCTAAGCATCAATAATATAAAAAATGTTTAAAATAGAAGATAAATAGTGAAATAAACATTACCCTGCCAGTGGAGGCACACATGGATTGATTGATAACATTACATGTGTTTCTCTTGCAGGGTGATCTCAGCCATTGTCACCAGCGGCACAGCCCTGGGCAGAGCCTCCTCTTACACACCCGACTACGCCAAAGCCAAGATCTCAGCTGCACGCTTCTTCCAGCTGCTGGACCGTGTGCCTCAGATCAGCGTCTACAGCGATAAGGGAGATAAATGGGTATGAGAGCATATGTTAGGCTACGTGTTTTGTGCTCGGCAGCCGTATTGCACGCTGTGTTCGGAAAAATGAGCTCTGCCTGCTTTATAAATTCTGAAGGGAATCCAGATGAAAAGTCTGATATCGTATTGCTTTATTGCTTTGCTTATTAATTTTTGATCAGTCATGACAGAGAGGTGTAGATGGGAGAAGACAAGGGGGGTTGTTACTCCTTACTCCTACACAAACTGTACTGTCATTTAAAAAAACGAAATATACCAGAGTATAAGGCTTTTAAATAGACATGCCATCATTAAATACAGCTCCTGCTATCTGTTTGTCAAACCTGCCTTTTGTGGAAACTTGAACCTTTGTTCCCCCCCTCCCCCCTCGCTGTGTCTTCAGGATAACTTCAAGGGAAACCTCGACTTCATCGACTGTAATTTCACATACCCCACCAGGCCAGACATCCAGGTCCTGAACGGGCTGAATGTGTCGGTGAAGCAGGGCCAGACGCTGGCCTTCGTGGGCAGCAGCGGCTGTGGGAAGAGCACCAGCGTGCAGCTGCTGGAGAGGTTTTATGATCCTGACCATGGCAGAGTGGTGAGTGAGACACATGGCCATATACTTCATCACACAAAGTGTGCTAAACTGGTGTGAAAGTTTGAGGGGAAAAATTGCCAAACAATCAGATCAATTTACAATCAGAAAATGATTAGCACATGACTTTAAATAGCCCCGCCCATGGGGCGCGAACCAACCACTAGGCTTCCAGCACCCCAAAGTGTAAATGCTTTTACTTAGACTTGTACCAGATCACCCAGGATAGGATAAGTCACAGGTAGATGGTGAAGGATCGTTTTGTTTTGGGTTGTGGAGACAAAAAACAGAGTTAAAGGAAGGATGACATTCATCTTTTACTTTCTAGCACGCATTTAACACAACTGGAGAGTGCTCTCAATGCTCAATAGATCATTTCTGGATGTGTTAAAATGCTCAAATGATAGCTGTATCAGCTTCATAAGGAGCTAATGCCTCAGCAGTGTGTTTACAGCTTGTTTTCACTGATCAGAAGAGGATAAAAAAAACACACATCGCAGCTTTCAGCTTTAACTGTATGGGATGGAATCCTTTCTAGCGTGAATCTGGTGAATTCTTTGCTGACTTCAGCATGTACAAATGAGAAATCTGACAGTACAAACAGGCAACATCACATCGTCAGAGCAGCTGCTGACCTTTATCCAAATGTCATACATCTCATTCCAGAGAGTCCCGCATAGAGTCGGCTTTCTACTCGGATTCTCACGAGCCTCGGTTGTACCTTGAGTGTCATTGTACAAAGTAAAATCTGTAATTTGTCAAAGTCAAATAATATTAGACAGACCCTCAGTGTACTCTTTGATTGAAGTATTTCTGACTCTCATATCACGTCAGTTCATTTGTCAATCCGACGTTTCTGCTGACTTTGTGTTGTATTTTAAAGAAGGGCCACTCTGTCCAGGATGGAGGTTTGTCTTTGTGCCAAAAAGGATCTCTGCCAAGATCCAAACTGCCTTAATTGAGTTGGAAGTGGTTTGGTCCTGATTCTCTGTCTGAGATTTTAAAAGGACACAATCACCTCTGCATGGTCAGGAGGAAATTACAGCAGAGACGGTGTTATGATAGCTCATTAAGCTGATTGTAATTCCAGCCTTTGATTATGATATTGCTTTCTACTAATGGTAAAATCAATTGTTTCCCGCAGTTGATTGATGGCCACGACTCGACTCGCGTCAACGTGCCCTTCCTGCGCTCCAAGATTGGCATCGTGTCCCAGGAGCCCATCCTGTTCGACTGCAGCATCGCAGAGAATATCAAGTACGGAGACAACATGCGGGAGATCGGCATGAATGAGGTCATGTCGGCCGCCAAGAAGGCCCAACTCCACGACTTTGTGATGTCACTTCCCGAGGTACTGTGCATGTTTTATGTGCTATGTGTTTGGGAAATGCAGGTGATGCCAAAAATGTCTGTGTTCACTTTGTGTGTGTTTAGAAAAGCAACAAGAAGTGAGTCGGAAAAGATAAACAAAAGTTAAACACAGACGCAGATCATAAACAGAACAAGGGCAACATGAAAGGCAGTGTAAGGCTGGTGTACACACACACACACACACACACACACACACACACACACACACACACACACACACACACACACACACACACACACACACACACACACACACACACACACACACACACACACACACACACACACACAGGAACAGGAACAGGTGTGCACATTCATGTGTGAATGAGGAGCGTCACACATGTGTTATCTCACCACTAGGTGTCCTCAGTCAGTCAACTATGACAGAATGAACAGGCAGAGGGCAGCTTTGTTTCAGCCAATATAAAATAGTGACTAATAGTGGTTAAATACACTCGAGTATACTTGAACACTTCAGTCCCATTGAGATTAAGAACCTCTTTTCATGGGAGACCAGGCCAAGACAAACAACATCACAAACACAAAGTTAAAGACAGAGACACAAAGGGAGACAAAGTATGTTAGTTTGATACAGTATGTTATTTTGCTGAGTTTCTTCAACTCTAAGGAGTCCTTGGATTGTTTCCTACTTATCTGAGACAAAATCCAAGAAGTTTTAAAATTGTAGGAATCTCTCCGGGACTTTTGTATGACCCCAGGATGTTTTTAGATTCAGCTCTGAGTGACAGAGAGAGGTGAGGAAGTCTGAGAATAACTGATGAAAACAAGAGACTACATTTTGTTACTGTTGTTTATTGTTTTCACAAAGGACACTAAAAGTCTTCATTCTACAATATCCTGCAAAGATTTTCTTCAATTTGTTCTTTAAAGGTTCCTAAAAGTCTACGGCTGATTAACAAATCTGTTATTAAACTGTGTTTTTCCCCCACACATTAGTGTTCTTAAAATAGATCAACGCTTTGTCCTCGTATCTTTTAGCTAGCTCGTGCTGTTTGTTCATAATAGGCATAGGTTAACACCCCTCTTATGCCCATAAAAGGGCATCAGACATCAGGGCTGTGTGCACCTGCTGTCATGATAAATGCGCTCAAACAGAAGAAGTGAAATGAAAACGACTGAGCTCAAATCTGAGGGACAAAAATATGTCATGTCTCATCATTTATCAGACTGATTCAATTAGTTGCTACTTTAAACATTTTTTTTTTTAGCTTTCAAGAAATCAAGTTGTGGATGTCTGATCTGAGATTGACTCACATTTCTTCCTGCCTCAGAAATACGACACAAATGTCGGCGCCCAGGGTTCTCAGCTGTCCCGAGGCCAGAAGCAGCGCATCGCCATCGCCCGAGCGATCATACGCGACCCCAAGATCCTGCTCCTGGACGAGGCCACCTCCGCCCTGGACACGGAAAGCGAGAAGGTACCCTTCATTGCACCCTGATCAGCATCTTCTCCACCATGCAGCTGCTTGATATTCGGCGGGCGCAGAGTTCAGGCTGAGCAGGCAGTTAATTATTATTATCATTAACATCATTATCATTCATCATGTCTGCTATTATCAGCAGAGCTCACAGTTCATTGCAGGCATCCAGTAGAGCCTCTTGGAGCTGAATCTGGTCTATAGTTCAGATGTGTGAGCCACGCAGAGGAGTAGAGAGGCCTCCACCGTACTCATCCACTGGAGCATTCTAATGATAGTAATCAACGTGTGATTGTCAAATTGCTATAATTGTGAGGCTCGCGTGGGAGAACTGATGAAGCATCCCGCCTGTGTGCCTGTGTGTGTGTGCGTGTGTGTGTGTGTGTGTGTGTGTGTGTGTGTGTGTGTGTGTGTGTGTGTGTGTGTGTGTGTGTGTGTGTGTGTGCAAACACTGCTTTATGTGTGTGTTTTTTTACGACAGACGGTTCAAGAGGCCCTGGACAAAGCCAGAGAGGGTCGGACCTGCATCGTCATCGCCCACCGCCTGTCCACCATCCAGAACTCGGACATGATCGCCGTCATGTCCAGGGGTTTCCTGATGGAGAAGGGGACGCACGACCAGCTCATGGCCCTGAAGGGAGCTTACTACAAGCTGGTTACCACGGGAGCACCAATCAGCTAAGCGCTCAGGGAAATAAGCAGACGATCAGAAAGGCAGCCAAGGGCAACAGATGTAAGGATCAGTGTTATTGTGATGCAAGGACACAGAGCAGGAGAGAGTTACAGTATTTATTTTCCTGTCACAGTAGAGGTCACACACCTGAATTGGAGGGATTTTTTTAAGGAATTACATAATGTCTTTTTTATTATGTTTGTTTAGTTTGATGGCAGGAATGCGGTGATATAACAATACGTACTGTGATACAGGAGTTACAAGTGATTAACTCTAAAATATGTCTTTTATATTTTAAGTAATGCGTGTAGGCTTTTCATCAGAAATCAATGGAGTAAAGTATCGCAATACATTAAATTGTACTCGGAAGTATCAGGGGTTTTTTTTAACTAAAGTTGCAGAAGCTAGTCCCAAAGTGTCCACCATCTGAAACAACACTATTCAAACAAACCTAGCAGTATTCTGGGTTTACTGCATCCCACAATGCATTGCAGTCTACAGAGCCAAACCAGTCATTAATGAGGTAACATGCATCACCATACCTGACTATTATTCATACGAGTCAGGTCCCGTGCACTTGTAGCGACTTCTCAACAGATGGTTCTTACTTTCTTACAGCTCGCCCGTACTGTTATGTTGTAAATATAGAAAATCTACTCTTTATTATCGAAGTCATATGAATTATATACAAACATAATGACATTATTAATGACAAGTGTTTTTTACTGAATGGAGTCTGTCCTTTAAGCTCTGTTCAACATTTCTGGAAATAAGCCTTTTTGCTTTCTTAATGGTTATAAAAGAAGAACGTCACCTTCATGTCTGTATGCTAAATATAAAGCTAGCAGACGGTTAGCTTAGCATAAAGATGCAAAAATCATGGGGCTGTTCAGAGGTTAAAGAATTCCAGAAATCCCTTAAGCGATTATATTTCAAGACAGTTAACATATCTGAGTACATTATTTTTATGCTCATGTGTATAGCGTAAACTAAGCTAAAGATGAAGTGACGCATTTAACATTAGAATCTAAACAAGATTAATGGATAAAAGTATTATTCTTGAATGGCTAGCACTTTTGTTACACAGGACTGTTCCTCCTGTGTGTAGACAATAATAATTGTATTCCTCTTCCCAAATCCTGAATATGTTTGACTGTAATTTTGTATGTATGCTTTTATTTTGTATGCATTGTGTGAAATTTTAATAAAACTTTTAAAAGGGTTCACGTTATTTTCAAAAAGTTACACCTGCCCACCCCCACAGGTGTTTTCAGTTGAGCTAATTAAACCTCTGCTCATGTTAAAGGTGGGCAGAGCGATCCTCGTGATTTTGTGAGATATCTGGCTCTGAGGACTAATGAGGATGACAAAGGTGTGTATGTACAGGCGCAACACAGGAGTCACAGAGATGTCAATCAAAAGCTTGTCCATGCACACACAACCTGAAGGCATTTAATCAGACAGTGAAGTCTGTCACCTGTGTGGCTGACCCCTCAGTATACAAGTTTAACAGTGTTACAAGAAGGGGAAACTTTCATGCTCAAACTAGTGATGTTCAAGGACACATTGTCATGTCATATTGGACTGCCTGAACACTTTGTATTCATGCAGATGGGAAATCAAATGGTTGATGAGTTTCTAAGCATTAGCTTGCGGGCTCAAATACTTCTCATAAAAATGTTTACAATCATTTTTCAGTGGTATTTGGAAGATTTATCCTCCCGTCCGTGGCCGTACTCATTTGAGGTAAAAAATATTTGTTCATTTCGTTCGTTATAAATAACCTCTACTGCCTTTTGTCAGTTTTGGGCCTCCGTAGCTGCACCTCTAAATGAAAGAAAATGACTCCTGTTTTCTACTGGAGTACCACATAATGACAAAATAACTTCATGGGAAAATAAGTACACCGAAAATAGACACTGATGGATTCCAAATGTCATGCGAGTTTCAGTCTCAGCACGGAGGGAAAATGAAAGAAAACAGCATGCTGCCTGGATGTATAAACACACATAAGAAACATGCAAATTCATTGGTATATAACTGTGCATGAGGACTTTACTTTTCTAGCTGTCAGTTGTTTTTTGAAATAACAAGATGCTATGCTTGTAACACTGATGTGTGCCGTCAGTCATACTCAGTATAAGCATAGCAAAGCTCAACAGCATTAGCACCTGCTGCTCTGAAAGGCTCTCGCTGAGGCACATGTTGGGATAATGCAGAGCGAGCTTCCTGCTATGTGAAGATAATGCTGGATGGCAGCATTTCAGAGCTAAGCCGTTTATAGCACAGAGCTTCTATAGGCCTCTATTGTTACTTTTTCACTTACATAAACCAAATCATGAAGCCGGTTGATAGCATAACACAGCTACTTAAGAACTCGGTGACTGAATGAATTGAATGAACACGATGACGATTTAATCCGACTCAGCCACCTGATTTGTTATTTGGGCTAACGGGTGTTGATGCTGCTGCTGCTGCTGCTCGTGACAGCCGCACCTTGAAGAGTGCAGATGTCAGAGACACTCCATCAGTTTGTGCTAATATGTGATCACACCACACTGACCTCTGGGAAATTGAGTCTTTAATCACAACATCTCCAAACTCACACTCCTGTTAAATTAGCATTCCTCAGATGCAATCTAATCTCGCAGGCTCTCCTGCCAATTCATTCAGCGAGAGGACACTGTTTGACATTGTGCCACGTAATGTCAATGCGATTCTGATTGATGGAAAGAGGCGCCGCGGGCGGACTGATGTGTCTCTACTGGGTGGGAGTGTTATAAACTAGCTGCCCTGTGAGTGTTTTGTATGATCTCGGTATGTTCACACAAACGAGGCGACACAGTGAATGAAATATCCCAAACGAAGCCGGGCTGAATAGAAAATATTTTCTTCCTCGAATATGACGGGCCTGGAAATGATCAAAGTATTTTCCCAATTATGCCAGAAGTTCATTAGCCTCTGGAATTCCAGTATCCAACATAGCTGTCTGTCAATGTAACTTCATGTTCATTTACATGCTAGACGCATTTGAAAGTGTTATAAATTAGCTTAACTTCAAAATGTACATGTGATTAAAATGTCTGTAAACCTTCCTGATATGTAGTGGTTGACAACATCTAAAAAGGCGTATATTAAAATGCTCTGTTACAAATAATGTGTTTAATTGATTTTTTATTTTAGATCCAGTTCCTCTGCTGCGACCCCACTAAGCACTCCCTTTGGACCCAATTAGGAGTGGTGACCCCCAGTTTAAAAAAAAACTGAGCTAATTACTATGAAATGGATAGCCTGCATTTGGAACTTTTCATTAAATGATCCATCAAATTGAATATTTTACAGATAGAAGGTCTTCCACTGTCCTACAGACAACTCAAACCTACTGAGTGATGAGAGAAATGGTCTCTGATTTTTAATATTAAAAAACTATTAAAAAAAACTAAAGAGGTTTTCAGTTCAATAAGAATATTGATTGTTGAAAAAGCAAAAACAATAGCTGTATGTGGTGCAGGTGCAGCCACATGTACAACACTTATAATTACACTTCACCTTAATTCCCATGAGGATAATTAGTTTTTCTGTCTTTCTGCTCTTGACTCACCAAGTGCGTGCCGGACAGTGCGTGTCTCTGAAGGATTTAAAGCGCTGACAGTCAAGAAGCCATTACAGCTCACTGAGGGGATGGTCGGCAAATTGGTTGGCTCGCAGGAGCTGTAAATAAGATGGAGGAGAGTCTTGTTTTTCGACTTGTCAATAGATGGCCTCAAGGCGAAACTGTCTTGAGTCAGAATTATAAAGTGGTAGAGACTCGGGAGAAGAGGAGAGATGAAATTAAAAAGAGTCTTGGCTTCAGGTTAGTGGGAGAATAAAGAGAAAAGTTCCATGTTTGATGTAGAAGCAGCTGGAGGTTATTTTTCCAGCTGTGAGTGACTGTAGGTATGTGCTCATCTGAAACCTCAAATGCGCTTAAAGGTTTCCTTCAGACGGCTTCTTGGGGTAAATATAAGAATTTCATTCTGGAAATACATTCTTGACCTTTAATCAAAACAGAAAAGCAGCGTGATGATGGCAAGTAACAGAATTTAACACAGATGCATGCGATTCTAAATGTATTCTGTCGTAGATTTGTTTTCTGCATTATTCTGAATTAAATTCGACATTAGGTTACGCCGTTTCTGCCTTGACATGATTGGATTCCTCTGGCTTTAACACAAGCAGGCAGGAGTAAAATTAAAACTGCTGAGGTCTTTTCTTCTGTCGGGGCTCGAACACGGACAGTCCCATAAAACTGGAATTACAGCGACCATTGTAAAATAAATCCATACTTGAAAATGTATCATTAACCCACAGGGAAGTGAAAAAGGAGCGACAATATAACACCAGCCTAATTTCATCATTACCGATGACGGTCATAACCATTAAAGCTTTTCATTATCATAATCATTATTGCAGCAGCAATAACACTGAAAAGCGTTGACCACAGGGACAGCAAGGGGCTGGATGAGAGGAGGGTCCTGTAATGTTCCTTTTTAATTTATTGATACTGCTGTGGAGAGATTTAGTAAATGAAGCAACACATATCAGGGACTGAACGTGGAGACCACTGCTCATGTAACTGTGGGTATTTGAAGTGTGTCTATAGCTAATAAGATACATTTCAGAAAGTAAACGTGTCTGCAGCGTTTGTCTTTGCATTTCCATGCCTCATGGTTGTAGACATCTGTTGAATCCAGCTAGCTAACGTGAGAGTGAGAGCTGTGCAGCTACGAGCAGAAGTACTGCTGAAACGACACAGACTCAACAAACGAATGGGTCCCAGCCCATCAATAAGCTGCACAGACTAACAGTGCACAAGTCCCTGCTCACATCATTAAGTCGGCATATAAAAGTCACGTTAGCGTGAATGAAGTTCCTGCTGTTTAGCTGCTGCGCCAGAAGGAGAGCAGAGCAGCTGACAGATTAGTGACATAAAATGAACCTGCGATGTAATATCCAGATTTGTTCAGTGTGACTCTGCAAGACACGAGAATATCTTCCCCTCTGTCCTTTACCGACAAGGTTTTACAGCAGAATGTGTGAAACTTTTGCATCATAACAAGAAATACTGAAAGACATTTATGTGTTTTACTTCTCAGTTTCTGTGCAGACTATCCACAGCATTATTCAAATCAAGAGTTCTGATCTGATCTCCACATGCTAATTGCTAGTTTTGCACTCCCTGTTATTATGCATCTCTTTCTTTTTAGCCCAACATTAAATTATTTTGCACTGTTGGGCTGCAAAGTAATGAATCCACATTGAATGTGTTTGCTTGGTCTACCTGGTTCTTTGTTTAGGGACGTGCACTGAAGCGAGGCAGATGAGCATGAGTTCCTCTCTTTTGGCAATTTGTAGTTAAAAAAAAAAAAAAAAGATTTCTGAATCATCTACATGACTCAAATAATTGTACTGCTATGACAATTTTCTACAGCTATTGTATTCTGAAGTATCATTAGCTGTTGAGCTGTTCTCATACACTCATGCAATGTTTCAGGGAAAAGACTTAAAGATTTCTGCTTGTGTTTTGACGAGGAAACAAATCTGTCAATAAAGAAAAAAAAAGTGAGTAAGTGTCTGTCCGTCAGGTGACTTTTCCAGATTTCTTCACTTTAAACTATATGGTGCAGCACGTTATCCCATGTAGGAGATAACGTGCCTTAATACCAGGCTTTTGTCAGGGCTTTCATAACACATCACTTCCATCACGGGTCATTAAGGAAACGTCCCCAAAATAGCCTTAACATTCACAGATAACATTGTCACATCAATGACATCCTCACCGGGGATGATCATATGGATCCAGTCATTCAGATTTTCCATTCATAGATAAAGCCTTACATTCACTTTGCACCTCCAAGGTGACCTCTCAGACGTCCTGCGTGGTGAGATGGAGAGAGAATCGGGTATTCTGCACGTGGCCACGAAGCAGCGGAACACACCAATGAATGACATTATGCCTCTATTAAACACAGAACTCAATTTGCTCTTTATCTCCACTGCTACACTTTCTGAAACGGTGAATACGCCTGATAAAAATCACAATTATAAAAAGCAAGACATAAATTATAAATTATAGCCTGTGAGTATTGTTACGTTGGTAGCGTGGAGGGCTGGCCCCGGGTAAGCCTATCTATTACTGA